AATCCTAACTGTTAGTCTCAATTCAGAACTATCCTAACCGCACAAGACAAAAGCGTCGTTTTCTCCAAGTTCGTGACGCCAATATACTTCATAAAATTACTCGCAGAGGGGCTCGTTACAAAGTTTCGTCCTTTTATGAATACGTGGACATTGTATTTCAGAGGTGTCCAGATTCACTGATTTGCAGTAAAGGTAGTTAATGAACAACTTTAAGTACCTCTGCAGTTACAATAGTTTAACATCTGCACTGATCAGGACTGTCCTAGATCTGCTCTGGAAGTAAGGATCATTCTATAAGGACGCGTTTAGTTAAGACCGTAGCTTAAAATGGCTCTAGCACACTTTAAACCATGAACGGAATCCGTTATTTACGAATTACAGTTTAATACATACTTGAAACATGTGTGTTCGTTTAGGGAGCTGAATAGTTCGGACTTAACAGATGCTCAAAACACTACAAAGGTTTTGAGTGTGGGGTACCGCTAGTCTGTCGGGATATTCACTTCACAAGTGAGGAAAATGTCAGTAACGTGCTGAGAGTGGGTGCATGCGCCGCCTCCATGGGGGCGGTCCAAGTCCCGGACCAGTTTTGAGCTCCAGAGTCGCTAAATGGGACTCTGACCGAACGTGTGACCCGACCAATGGATTGCGCTGCGAACGAGGAAGCCATTGGCGGGGGTCTCACGCTTGGTTCGGGACCTGTTTAGCGACTGCGGACCCCAAGACGCGTCGAGGATTTGGGCCGCCGGCGCCGCACAGTGGGCCAGAAGACCGGTGGAGGCGGCCAAAATTCTAGACGCGTTTTGAGCTCTAGAGTCGCGAAATGGGACCCGAACCGAACGTTTGACTCCACCAATGGATTGCTCTCTGAACGAGGAGTCCATGGGTAGGGTCACACGCTCGGTTCGAGTCTCATTCAGCGACTTATGGAGCTGAAAACGCGTCTGGAGTTTTGACCGCCTCCTCCGGTCTTCTGGCCCACTGTGCGCCGGTCTTCAGGTCCGCTGTGCTCCTGCAGGGCCTCACCGTGGGACAATGGCTGGGCCGCCCGTCGAGACGGAGACGGACGTGAGGTCGGGCAGGACGCCCAGCATCTCGACAACAGTGTTCTCAATGGACGCCCTGGAGGAAGTGTCGTATTGGACTTTCAGTGTGCTGACGTGGGGAGCTGCTCTGGCGATGGCCAGCATCGCGGCCAGGCAGCGAATCACGTGGTAGCCGGTCCAAGTCTCAAACTTGAGGTGGCGCAGCGCCGGCAGCGCGGCGTCGGTCAGGGCCTCCACGGTCCTAGGGGAGATGTCCTCCAGCTGCGAGTGCACGACCGCAGTCAGCTCGCGCAATGACGTCATTTGGCGGATGCCGCTCACCGACTCGATGGGTATGGAGAGACTGAAAACGGAAAGTACAAAACTTCTGAAGAGCGTTAAGAGATGGATGTGCAGGAGCTTGTGGGAGCACAAGTCGCGGAAGAATGAGTAGTAGTCAACGCGAGTGTGCTCCGCCCCCATGCCCATCAGGCGTAGAAAGGTGTAGATAGGCAGATATTAAACGAACAACGTTAACGGAACATTCTACCAGCGCAATATGTTGAAATATCAAGGCCAATATCTGCCGAAAAAATGTTCCTGCTACTATCGAGTGTGCGGGAACATTGCGAGCCACGAACAATTATTTCGGATGATTAGTATACCCTATAGGGGACAATAATAATTTACAAAACCGTCTCGAAGCAAGTGTCGACGGAGTGCATGAAACGTTAACCAGAGTGGGAAATTTATTAGAAAATGGAGTGCGTACCTGGTGACATTCACACACTTCGAGAGCGATTGCACCACCGACGAATGGAGGGGAAGGTTTACTTCGACTCGGCGCAGCGACTCCGCGGCACCTTCCAGCAAGTCTTTAAGTATTTCGCGATGGTTGAAGGGAACGCGATCCACGCCCTGCGGCACGGAGTAGTTCAGCACGCGCAGCGAAGGGAGGCGACCTTTCAACTGCTGCGAATACCTAGAACAGAGTCAGTCAACGCTAGCAAAACATAGGCAAAAAACAAACCTATATACGCCACTGGAGGGCGTGAATCCACTGCGATCCATACTTGGTTGAAGGTTTTCAGAGTGTGCTAAATTACAACACTGTTTTTGATAGGGCAGAAGGTTAGTTCAAACTTACTGTGGCTTCGAGGATGCCGCTAGTGTCAACTCTTCAATTTGCTCCAAAGTTGATATGGAGTGCAGTACATTTCCATGCAGAGCGGCATGCCCACGGACACTCCAAGATAGTGCTCTGAGGCTCTTCTCATTGCGTTTCAGCAGTTCACACTGAGCCTGTCACGAGGCACAAAAGATGACATGAGTGAACAAAACAACGACGCTTGGAAAAACAGATAACAGGAAAACCACACTGTCAGAAATTTTGTCGTAAATTAGCGACAAAAACGTCGCTAATTTTGATAGCGACAGAAATCGTTCTGAAACTACTTCGTCGTAACTGAACGACGAAAAAATCATTTCTCTACGACAATGTCGTAATCGCGATTACATATTTTGAAATCTGAAATCCCTGAAAAGTTGATGAAAAGTTGCAATTGTGCTCGCTTATTTACGATTTATGTCGTTCATTTACGATTCATGACACAAATTTACGACAAGATTCGTAAATGTACGACTGAAGTCATAACTGCACGACATATTCAAAAGATAAATTACGATCGTTCGTAAAATTACGATTAAGTTGTAAATTTACGACTTAATTCGTTTCAAAACGGAAGGTCTCGCTATCAAAATTAGCGACAAATATGTCGTAAATTTACGACTCAAGTCGTATGTTTACGACTTGAGTCGTAACAAAATATGTCGTTTTAAAACGACATAATTGTTCTTCAAAATGTCGTAAATTTACAACGATTTTTAACAGTGCATTAAGACCAATGGGTTGACATTTGTAACGAAGAACGACTCACAAAAACTCCACACAGAATGTATGAGGACAATTTTGAACGTGTTCACACACAATTTTAAGAATGTAGACGTTATCGTAAAAAATTGTACTCAGAATCGCACAAATTTCGAGCCAAAAAGGTGCGAAAAGCACGTGAGCGTAGCAAACTACGCTACTACAGTTTAACTGTACTTCGGGCCTCACTCTTCTTGCACTCCAGCAATAGTAAAACATTATTTTAACGAAAATAATACATTATTTTTAACCCGAGTCAACAAAAATAATTCCAATGCTAATCGCATTGCAAGGTGTTCCCATTATTATAACTGGTAAGGGAAGGTGGGGTACCATGTGACACGGCCACCATGTGACTTTGGCTTTTTCTCCCAAACGGCTTGCTATCCAACAGCGGTAAGAAGACTCAAAGGAAGGTATCGTGAAGGAGAATCGACGTGCAATAGGTCGTGACTCTCCTTCGAAAAGGACGGGAATGGTAGCGATCAGAATTGGAAATAGTCTTAAAATATGCTCATTGGAAACTATTTCTATTTCCCGCCGCGTCCGCTTTTTACCTTTAAAATACATTTTAAGGACACATGCTCTGCAAGATGTTCTTCTTTGATGTTTTAAGCGCAATATAAGCTTTGGCTCGATTCTCTACGTCATAAACTTTGAGCGTTATTGCTGTTTCCCCTAAAACTGTAGATCTGGGCACCATGTGTCATTGGCATGTGTCACTGTCATTCGCTATGGGATTCCACGATTCACTCAGTTGAATGTGTTCAGCCCATGACATTTGTGCACTATTAACTTAAACCTTCATTGCTCGGGAACCAAAGATGATAAATTGATAAACTCAACGGAAATAAAAAGCTGGAAGACTTCTTCATTCATTCTTTGCGTAGGTACGCTGAATAGGATTTAAACCCTGACAAAAGGCCACTGTCACATGGTGCACTAAGGCTGTCACATAGTGTACTACGTGGGGTACGAAGTGACACATTCAACTCGGGATAACTCAGCAACCAAAACAGATAAATTAGAAATCTCAACAGCAATTTTAAGGTGAAGAATCATTTTGTTCACATGACTACTGATGGATGTAATGTGATTGGTAGTATTGGGTTGACGGGCACTTAACAAAAACCGTCACATGGTACCCCACCTTCCCTTAACTAATAATTTAAAAAAGGATTCACAGGATTTTAATTATAAATATTTTAAAATAGCCATGTATTGGACCGTGCCAGTGCCAACTGTTAAATAAATATGAGAAAATCCAAAAAATTTGAAGTGCCCATGCGCTTAAAATTCAAACTAACCATTAAAAAATTCCAATGCTAATCGCATTGCACGGTGTTCCCGTTTCCATAACTGGTTGAAAATCGAGGAAAACATGACAAGACAACCGCAGCCTTTGAGAGCATGCCAAACAATCCAACCTCAGCAACAATGGAGGGGCAGTTTCAATGGGCGCCTGTTCGTTCTTTCAGCCTCGCGATTTTCGAAAGGGCGCAGACGGCAAGCATATTGGTGCCAACCCACGAAAATTAATTTGATGCGTCGTTTCTGCTACGAACTTTTTAGTAGTGACAGACTTTAAAGATGTTCCAACGTTGAGACACCGTGCAATGTGTTAGCATCAGCATTTTCAAATATCACGGCGTTTTGATTTTTTTAAATGGGCGACTTTAAATTTTGACGGGTGGTACGATGGGACCATGCCGTTGCCATGGAGATTTTTTTTCATGTTTTGACCATTTGCTCAGAACATATACGATTTCTTGTTACTTTGATGAGCCAGGAGGTTTAGTATTGAGGAGTGGCACATTTTTTATTTGAACCATTTTTTCATATCATTAACGGTTCTCGTTTTCGATTGTTGCAAATTTATGTTTTTCGCGTTTACGGAAAATTTCCACGATGAATTTTCGAAAAAAATTGGAATTTTCGTTTTTTTCATGGTTGAAATAGTTTAGAGTTGTTTATTGGAAAATCGGAGAGGGGGGGGGGGAAGAATCCACGGACCTCGGACAATAGGGGTTCTTGGGAACCCCTAAAAAGAGTTCTGGTCAAACCCGATTCAGTTAACGCCATGACCGACTCACTCCATCACGCGACTTACAGTGCATGTTCGTCAAACGAAAGTCACCCACGTTCCGAGACCACCCCTCCCGAATTTATAAAGTTTGTCAAACCAACCGTAGTGCTGTTTTGACGTCGTGAGTAAGGGCTGTTCTATAGAATTGAGGAAAACATGACAAGAGAACCGCAGCCTTTAAAAGCAAACCAATCAATCCAACCTCAGCAACAATGGGGGCAGTTTCAATGCGCGACTACACTCGTTTTTTCAGCCTCGCGATTTTCGAAAGGGCGCAGACGCGCCGAGAAAATTGATGCCAACCCACGAAAATTAATTTATTGCGTCCTTCCTGCTACGAACTTTTTACAACTAATGACAGACTTTAAAGATGTTCCAATTTCGGGACACCGTGCAATGCGTTAGCATGGGCATTTTCGAACTTCACGGAAATTTGATTTGATTTTCGGCGACTTCAAATTTTGACGGGTGGCATAATGGGACAGTGCCGTTGCCAAGGAGATTGTTTTTCATGTTATAACTACTTTTTTTTAGATCACAGACGATTTTTTGTTACTTTGATGAGCCAAGAGGTATACTTATGAGGAGTGGCACATTGTTCATTTGAACTATTTTTTGATAGCATCAACGGTTCATGTTTTTGATTGTTGCAAATTTATGTTTATCTAGTTTACGGACAATTTCCACGATGAAGATTCGTACGAAATTTGGAATTTTCGTTTATTTTACGGTTGAAACAGTTTAGCGTTATTTATTTGAAAATCGGAGAGGGGGGGGGGAGGAATCCGCGGACCCAAAACAATAGAGGTTCATGGGAACCCCTAAAAACATAAGAATATTGTTATAGTGCAAACTACAGACCCTTCCACCCGGGCAGCGCGAGCGCTGTGCCTACTCACCGTCTTTGACTCAGGATTCATGGCATACGAGTCACCGCAGACGATCCTCTGAATGGTGGCGTGGCACCGCGTTAGAACGTCCTGCAGAGGGACGAAGCCTTCCAGCGACCGGAGTGAACTCAACGCCGCATTAGCGAACACTTGAATTCTCAGCTCCCTCAAGGCAAGAGCGTGAACGGCGACGCGCGCTTCGTTCCGGGGCACATAGTAATCGCGGTCCTTTGAAGTGCATATCTGAAGGGCGAAGGGAGAAAAAATACTGACTGAACATTCCCACTTCAAATCCAATGGTCTGACTTCTCGCCACTCCAGAGGCGTGACATCAAGTCTCACCACGTTTTGGTCAGACGTGGAAAGTCTCGCCAAAATTTGGCCATACAAAAAAGTTGTGCCACAAAACGCGCCGCAAACGACGGGCGCATTACGGCCTTTAGGGGGTGGTCGAACACCAAAGTCTCATGAAATTTAGACCGCAAAAGGGGTCAAGTTGAGTCACATCCATTTTTCATGTAGATTTTCGCCTTAGAGTTAGGAATTGGGTCAAACAATTTGGTTTAATGACGCAATCCATACTGATGCACAATAATATGATAAAAACTCAATTTGAAGATAAGTCGAGTTATTCCCTTCTTCCGCTTCCTGGATCAAATATCGTCCCCAATTTATGAATTCAATTAGTCATAGTTTGCGTATGTGCATGTATGGCAAAAGTTACGGACAATAAGAGTACATCAACATTTAGTGTGTGCATGACAGTGCACAGTTTCATACTTAGCTACGCTCGAATCCGGGCATATCAAAACGTATGATCAATTCCTTGCACATCTAGTACATAGCAACTACATATTACAGACATAGCTACAATGTAAACTTACTGTAAAGATCGATGTTGAAATGACTCTGTTTCACCAGTGTAAATCCCTACTCTACTCACCGTGGCACAAACACTGGCCCACGCCCGTGGGTCCTTCGCCACGCTGTTCCATCTGAAGCACACGAGACTAACGCAGTCCAGCAACGTCCGGCCGTCGTCAATAAAGCGGAAAATATTAAGTAAGATTTCAGTCGGCGCGTGCTCCATAGCTGAACCTGGAACAAACAAATCAATATCGACTGTGGAGGCGTCAGCCGTCTGCACCCTGTCACTTCTCGATACAAACTCTACAAATCGAAGAGAGTGCATTGTATGTGCTCTAACTGGAGCATGCCTGCAAGCACGCTCTAGCTAGCGCATGCCTGCCAAGCATGCAGTTACTAGTGCATACATGCCATGTACACGCTTCCTGATGCAGGCAACTCCCTTTCCCTAATGCACTGGATGCATGCTTCAGTTAGCGTGTACATGGCATGTATGCACTAGTAAGTGCATGCTTGGCAGGCATGCGCTAGCTAGAGCGTGCCTACAGGCATGCTCCAGTTAGAGCATACAATGTACGCTCTTCGATTTGTAGAGAAGACATCGGGTATGATACCCAAAACGAAACAATCCAGGGCCGTTACGACAACAATGGGCACAAATGACTAAAACTCAACAACTGTAGCAGCTAGAACCATGCGAAAAAAATTTTTGGTGATCAAGGCCATACTGGAGTTTGGTTTCCATATGAACGAAGACCAAATTTAGCTCAACAAAACTCGGAAGCGGAATTTTGACAAGGTTCATTTAGGGACAAAGTCGAGGGGTGAATCACTCAGCGTTCTGGTTACGTTAGCGGTTCTCCCCAAAGGGCATTAAGGACTCTACGGATGAGGTCTGCGCCGCGTAAATTTCTCATAAAATCTGCCATTTTGACTTTCGTTTGTAATCTTCTTCCCGGCTAGACCTTTGAAATACCCTGAAATACCCTGGGAAAACCCTGTCTGAGACTTGCTTCGCCAAGATGTGAACCGGCAATAGGGTGCTCCAATGAATATCGAAACGGAAGAAGAAGAACAAAAGTAAGCCCTACAAACAGCTTCTGCGCATGCGCACCGGAGAGTGGGGGAACTGCGCCCTGCGCTCTAAACTAAGCCGTTTAGAGGGCTTAGTTTCGTATTCTTGTTCTTCGGTTTCGAGATTCATTGGAGTACCCTGCGCTCTGTACCTGTCTTTGAATACACACTCATAACCAAAGAGGACTAGATGTTGACCCCACGTTATCAGTGCAGCGCTTCCCTTACCTGCCGAGCACGCAGAGAGAAATCACAGAGCGGAGCGCTAACGTATCGGCGATGAACAGAGAACTGCCTCGGCACCAAGCGTCTGCGTCGAAGTAGCCCAGGGGGACGGCGGCTACACACGGTCGCACTGAAAATAGAAAGATCAGACTTTTGACCCCTATAACGGTCTTACTGAAATATACGACCGAAAAAGGGTCATACGAAATGTAAGACCGAAAAAAGGTCACACTTCGATGTATGACCGAAAAATGGTCATACTTTATAGAGGCTGATATACCCCCAAGCTAAAGAATAGCCAGTCTCGCTGATGAGTGACCTTTATATGGTCATACATTTAAGTATGATCCTTTTTCGGTCATACTTTTTGTATCACCGAAAATCGGTCAAATGTATCACCCTTCGAATTTCAGTGGTACCCGAATGAACCTTAAATCTACATATAGTACCTTGCACGGTACTTTCCGAAAAGCTGTGACCATATTACTCAATGGCGTGTCTTGACCCTGCAAGTTTTGACGATAGTACGATGGTGATGTGGCAAGATGTCACGTTCTTGTCACAGTTTTGGCCCAACGGCCACAAATAAGACACACTGCTCAAAGGGATGAAACATTTTGGCACATTTGTTCCAAAAGACTACTTCACTAGACCCACGTCGATCCCTCGAGAAAACAAATGCACCGGAAGTCCGGTTGCGTCGGCCAATCAGAAGCCTCCTTTCTTCAAGGATAGGCGCTACCACTGGTGAAAGGAGGCTTCTGATTGGCCGACGCGACCCGACTTCCGGTGCATATCTTTTTTCGAGGGATCCACGTAGAGCCAGCGAAATAGACTATGCGATGTCACGTACCTGGACTGGGAATGACGGAAAGCTGCGATGCATGGGATATCGGAAGCCTTGTGCGGAAACACCACCTACACGTAGAGCTGGAACGGAAGTAACGCGGTTTCAAAGCAGGAAATCGAAGTTTTAGATCTTTGCAAGCGGCAAGATGGTAGGAACCACAGCACACTGCTCTTAGAGGTGGCAACCGTGTGGGCCGAGGTGACTCACCAACTCTGAGCGTGTTACGCCACGACGTCGTTGCCTGGTCTGAGCATTGGCCAAATTTCAGACGCAGTTCGACTCTTCGTTCATGATTGCAACGACTCCAGGCTTGAAGACCCCCGGGAGAAAGGATTTGTGATTTTACCTTCACAGAATAACAGGAAAAGTAGCGATATACATCGGCAACTTTGGCCCGTCCCGTACATTAAGAAACGTACGAATTTCGCCCATGTTTGACCCTGACGGGGTTCAAACCTGAGTCTGGGATTAAAATAAATGTCGTTTTCGTCATCAGCACCCTTAAAAACATCAGAAACAATGCAAAAACTGGAATAAAAAGAATGTTCAAAATATACCCCACTGGGATTTGAACCCGGGTCCAAACTTCTCCGATTCGCTCGAAACTGGCACCATTGGTTTTTTCTCGTCGCCCCGATTCCAAAAATACCCCTACATGCCCTCCTAGCTGCATCCGTTGCCGAAATCCTCCTCGACCCCATGTAGACCATAATGCACCTGCAGCAGCGCCCCCGGGGCTCGGATCGGATTTGCTGCCACCGGGCGGTTCTTAGGGTCACCCAAGGAGGCTGCATACCAAATTTGGTCAAGATCGGACCACGGGAAGTCCTCGGACGAACGAACGAACGAACGAACGACGAACGAACGGACGCACAGCATGCATCATACTATATGCCCGTCCCTCCGTCATTTTTTTACAAAAAATAAACGGGACGGGCCAAAAAGTGTAGTTTATCTGCAGTTCAATAGGGTACTTTCGTAGATCCTGAACCGGAAGCAAGCAGGCCAGCAGACGCCAAATGGGCCGGAAACTAACCTCTCTTCGGATCCAAAACTATAGCCGGGCTGTACAAATATTGATCGCGGTACACATATGCACTGCAAACAAGTATCAAACGACGGTTTATGTTCAAGTGTGGCCGATACGTTTTACTAACGTCTCTTTCCCATGTCAAGTTTCGATCTACTTCCGCCAACATGGCGTCTGTGAGCTTCCGGTTCAGGGATCTACGAAAGTACCCTTTTGTGCTCAAAGTACCAGTTATTTCGTAAAAGTTTAGTTTTAGGGCTTTTAAGTAAGAATAACCTGTAGTTTTGCAACTGCATTTTGAAGACTACAGTTTGACCTGTAGTTTCACTCAACTGGGCCTACTTTGACGGGACTTTCGCAGGCAGCATCGCAATGCCCGTCATGACAAGGCATGGTCTGGCGTACACCTACCGTCAACGGGGGTAACTTAGGACACTTTTTCACGTTTCTTGAACGCCAGAGGCAAGAATCTCAACCCAGACCATTGGATCCTAACTATGCTAAAGTTTGACCTTTTACCCATGATTTCATGCTTGTCTGGTTCATTTGCCCCGATTATATCGTTTGTCAGCGGACTCGAAATCTATTAATGTTAATGGATGTAATAAATTTAAGTCACAATACGTAGACCGAGAATTCGGGCTTAGGAACTATTGTAGGACCGATATTGGACTATATGTAGGGTTCTATGGGGTTTTTGCCCCCCCCCCCCCCCGATAGCCCCTAGATAGCCGCCTGAAAGGTAGGCAAAAAGTGCTGCTTTGCCCTCCCCCCCTCTTTCAGGTCGCCTCTGGATCCGCCACCGTAAGAATACGGCCGTGACTCAGGCGAAGACTACGGGTGAATATTAAACGTACTGCACGAATTGAAATTTGGAAGTCTTCGGTTTTTGGTTAATTGCCCTCGTGTCCTAGGCCGCGAGATAAAGTTTGAAAATAGACAAAATTCGTCTCAACTTAATCATTTCACCAGTCGCTTAAATGCGTTAACTGGTCCCAATTCTGTTCATCACTCTAAATGTCTTACAATGAAATTTGACCTATGTTATTCGTATGTTACAGTGGATTCGGCGCAAGCATAATACGAAGCAATATTCCTTCGTAATACGAATCTTTCCAGATTTTTCTTTGTAAGATACAAAGAAAAACCTTCGTAATACGAAGAAAAACCACCTTCGTATTATGCTTGCGCCATTTCCTTCGTATTATGGGAAATTTCTTCGTAAGAAATTTAGAGTGATGCACCCGAGGAAACAGGAGACGCTTTCGCTCGTCGCCGAGTGAAGAACAAACGTGCTCATAGGGTGGGCCGTGAAACACGATTTTTCGATATAGCAACCGTAATAGCGCTCCATAGTTACTTCATGCCAATACAAATTCAACGCAATCTGGCCCAGGTCTGTAACTTCAAGCTTGACCCTCGCGCATCGGCGTTGAAACTCCGAAAATTCGACTTGTACGGATTTTACTAATAACAGCCATAGAATCTGAACCAGATGTCCAAATGATGTTTCCGAGACGGAAATGGAAACGTCTGATCATGCTCTATCAGTTTAAGACCACCGGGACCCTCTACGAGCAGTAGGGGACCAATGGAAGAAAATTACAAAATTACCATTTTTTTTTCGTTTTTTACAAAATGCAAAAATTGCCCTTTGGGTTTGATACGGCCATCCTTACGTCACCGTACCCGAACCATACCCCGAATCTTCTTCTCTAAGGACCCCTTCCCCGTTTTAAGCGCGCGGGTTACCCCGGGATCCGTTCACACGATAGGATTTGGACGCCAAAAACACATGTTTTACTGAAAATGCAAATTATCGGCAGTCAAGGCACTGTAGGGCACCCGTCTCGTCCGTATGAACTGCAGTGACTCAAAATCGATTACAGGATGGTGTCTTTGGGTCGCAGGAACCCACCAGTATGTAGACAATCGGACGAAGAGACCTTTAGAACGCTATTTACACTGTAAATCTCGTAAATCTTGAGTTAAAACGCATTTTAGGCCGTGAATGGCTCGTCTGGATTAACGACAGAAGGTCGCTGCACATTTTTTTACAGGTTTTACTTATCCATCGTATAGATTCTCATTTCCTTTCTCACTGTTATGTCCGCTTGCAACGGCCCAGGGGACATACTTACGCTTGGTGCGCTAGTAGAGCTGAACCCCCCGCGGACACGCCGCTGTTTCGTTTGGCTTCGTAGGTAGTTTCTGATTACCGTTAAAATTTGTGCGTAGGACTGCCTGCGACAGCCGCACGGATATGTTACGCCAGTTGACCAATTTTGGAAGTGCTTCTCACAAGTAAACATTTACCTTCGTTCTGGCGTACTGTACCTTCGCGTTTTGCTCCATTCTCCTGCATACAGTATCAAGGTGTCAGCTTATACATGCGCTGTAGGAAAAACCCACGGGAAAAAAAAACAGAATCAGTCAGGTAGAATATTTGCCTGGTACCACCGTACCACAGCCAGTACGGCTTTTGGGGTACGAAGTACGGTTTTTCATGACATGGGCTCTCATGGGAAGCACGGTTTTTTGGTACAGCTGTTCTGTACATCGTGTGGTACGGTCTAGCCGTAGGGTCAGGGCGGGGAAGAACTGGACAGGGGAAGAACTGGACACCCCATATTTTACTTCAAATACCGTAGGCACAGGAATAGCAACTATCATAAGTTGTTCCGTGGCATCAGCGGTTCATTACACGACAGTTGTCAGGCCAGTACATACGGCATTTGAAGTGGGGTGTCCAGTTCTTCCCCTGTCCAGTTTTTCCCCGCCCTGACCCTACCTTTTTCCTTGAAATGTACGGCCTTTTTAAAAGTGTCGTAGCCCCACCAGTGGTTGGGTGGGTAAGGGTGGTGGCGAATCTCGACGTGCTGCCACCTTCTCGTGGTGAGGGCTGAGTCGTCTCGGATTTTCCGGGCGAGCCAAGAGCAGTACAGTGGAAACCGAATATTTGGAAAACGGATTTAACCGAACCTTCAATGGAAATAGCGTTCTAAAGGTCTCTCCATCCGATTGTCAATATATTGGTAGGTGCCTGTGACGCAAAGACACCATCTATTGATCGATTTTAAGTCACTACAGTTCATACGGACGAGACGAGTGCCCTTCAGTGCCCTGAGTACCGATAATTTGCATTTTTAGTAAAACATGTGTTTTTGGCGTTCAAATCCTAACGTGTGAACGGATCCCGGGGTACCTCGTGTGCTTACAACGGGAAATGGGCCCTTAGAGAAGAAGATTCGGGGTATGGTTCGGGTACGGTGACGTCAGGATGGCCGTATCAAACCCCAAGGGCAATTTTTGCATTTTGGAAGAAACGAAAAAAAAATTGTAATTTTGTAAGTTTCTCCCATCGGCCCCCTACTGCTCGTAGAGGGTCCCGGTGGTCTTAAATTGATAAAGCATGATCAGACGTTTCCATTTCCGTCTCGGAAACATCATTTGGACATCTGGTTCAGTTTCTATGGCTGATTTTAGAAAAACCCGTAAAAGTCAAATTTTTGAATTTTCAACGTCGATGCGCGAGGGTCAAGCTTTAAGTTACAGACCTGGCCCAGATCGCGTTGAGTTTGTATTGGCATCAAGTAACTTTGGCGCGCTATAACGTTTGCGATATCAAAAAATCGTGTTTCACGGCCCACCCTAGTGCCTACTGGTTCCTTGCTCTTTGATTACATTTTTGCTTCACTCGGCGACGAGCGAAAGCGTGTATCGATGCGGAAACCTGTGAGCCGACGACTGCTTTTACGGTCTGTGACGTCACATTGCGCAGTTGCCTGGAGTCACCGATATTAAGCCAAATCAAAAAAAAATGGTGACAAATACGTTACTAGTTTCACGCGGAATGAAAGAAATCGTCAAGCCGACTATGCTGCGATCAATGGACCTCACGTCATACGCCCGTCGTCCACTCAAATCCGGCCAGTGATGCCGATATTATGGAGCATTTTGGACGAGTTGTTAGTTTGTTTTCGTATTATATTTTCTGGCTCATATTACATTCCTTATCGACCTGTTGACCATATCCAGGGAAAGAGGTTTTTAATCACTGCGAGAAAAAGTACTGAAAATAATAGGAACAAGCTTGGTCAATAATTTGCCTAGACCGTCCGTGCTACCAAGTACGAAACTTTCCGTACCCTTTTACGTTTGCCATCACAGAACAATTGATCCATGAAGCGGACGAAGGGAATAACTCAATTTTCATCATTTTTCAGGAGACAAAAAAAAAACTGTTTGCAGGGAATCCAATCAGTTGAAGGATGCAATAGGTCAGAAAACCAACTGAAAATTTTCAAAAGTTTAGCATTTGTCTGTAGATGGTTTCTGTGATTTAAATCGTTCCGTTGGAATGGAAAACGGAACCATGTTTTCTTAGTTCTCCCAAACGAGGTGGAATTTGTAGTCAATGCAAGTGGAGCTGAGGGTGTATGTCAGTAGTATGTTTTTGCAGTTACCTCTTTTTACCAATTGGTGATGGGGAGTTAAGTTGAGATGATTCTTTTTGTACTTTTTATGCTTCCGTACTGCTCTTCCGTTCATTTTCCGCATTAAATTACGGATCGCTTTACAGTCATACTGCTTGATCCGATGAACAACTTGGTTCCTCCATCATGTCTCGAGGGGGCGCCTGCGAACTTCAGATGCGCGCCCGTCAAGCTCCTGTGTGTTGCGGGCTGGCCTACCCAACGTCCGCAGGCGCCATGTCCTCGGCAGACCAGCTCCGTGGCAGACAACTTACTTGATGACAGCCATTTAATTATCAGATGTACTGTCAGGCTTGCCTCTCCTCTCATTCCACGAGCGTGAGGTGACGTTGCAACGTTAAGCGTGACAAAAGGTCACGCTCCTTTGAGCATTGTGTCCTCGTATGAGCGTTGACTAGATGAGTTACGGCTGAAATCACTTCCAAACGAGCGTAATGCAATGCAACGCACACAGTGACGTTTTGTCACCCTTGTTTCAACGTGACATGCTAGACGGGGCTACTATATGCTGCGAAAATTAGTCCAAGGCCGTGGTTAAAAGCCACAATGGCACTTTTGTCACCAGGTCAAAATTAAGGCCTTAGTTGGCAATTTTCAAAAAAGTGACCCACAATGAATTTTTTACCTTATTCAGGTGGTTGCAAACTGTTGCAAAGGAAAATTTGAAATGAAACTTATCCGTCTTAAACTTATTCTTCTTTCTTGCGGGTGGATTTTAATTCATGTGGCGGGAAAATCGAGGTAAATGCATAAAACACCTGAGGTTATAATTCTTTAATTGTTACTCTAAAGTGCATGCATGCCTGAAAAACGAATGACTACACCTCAAACTCAACAGTAATAACCTTCCTCTCTTTGTTGCAGATGAAGGGACGCTGAACATTGACGCAAAAATCGGTCTTCCAAAGTAGAATGTCAGTGTAAGTACACATGCAGTGGCTTGCTTCACGGTGTTCCTCATCGTAGCGTACTGGCGGCCAAACTTGGAAGTTGTCGTACGTCACTGGTTTGCCCGTCTGCGTCCACGTGAACACACCAGTGTCGGCGTGGTCCGATCCTCCGATCCAAAAAGACGAGCCGCTCAGACCTGCAAAAAAAAAAAAACGGCGGGAAATTGCTACCTGTGAATTCACCAGATTGTGGCGAAAAGTTACGGAGAAACCAGTAAACAACTTAAGATAATTAATTTTTCCTGCCCAGAGCCCAAAATTTTCAGTAGTCTTCTTGTCGATCCCCTCTGTACGCGTCATAGTCTTCTCCGTACCTCACTGGTCTGCAACGACAAGCGGAGAAAACTGTCTGTCGTACGGAGAGCATTGTTACGAGGCTACGGGAAAATGTTGGGGTACGGACAATCATGGCAAAAGAATTAACTGTCTTCTCCATAGTCTTTTGATACAGTGCACTCCTATAATTATATCTGGTTAAAATATTAAGAAATGTAGAGAAATTTGACCAAGTTATGCCTCGGGGCAAAACCAAATTAGGGTTCATACATTTAACCCAACATTCATTGTAACTCATAGAAAGACGGCATACGCAGACTTAACGTCTTGGTCTGTGGAATTTATCGAATTTCAAACTCACATGCAAATTAGCGCTGACCTATTTACTGGAATACACGGAACTTAACCAAACATTTCAAACCAATTCAACCAATTCCATTTCAAACCATTTCAATTTTTTGAACTTCTCCGACAATTCAACCTGTTTCCCCTTGAAATTTTATAGATTTATCACTAATTTTAATATCTGAAACGTGTCGATCTTTAAAAGGACCTTTAAAAGCTCACTCAGGTCGTTGGCTGTTTGTCACGGTCCACGGTGCACTGGTAAAACTAAAGCGGTAATATTACCCTCTGTTCAAGCGTAATCAGTTAACGCTTGAAACCAAGCGTAATAGGACCATCCGTCGAGATTCCCCCTAACTGAAAGCATGGGGGAATTTCCAGAGTATGCTTCGTTTCAAGGGTAACGTCTTCAAGCGTCTTTACTGCACATCACGTGAAAAGCGGCCTTTTTTCAAAGTCCGTGGCGCCAACATGCTACGTATATAAAATTACTCGCCAAAGGGCTTGTTACAAAAGTTTCGAGAGATACAGAGATTCACTGATTTGCAGTCAAGATATTTCGTGAACACGCTTTGAGGTACCTCTGCAGTTAGGAAAGTTCTAAATCTGCCCTGACAGTTCGGATTGTCTTGGATCTACTCTAACAATTTGGATTATTTTATCAGGACGCGTCACACTGTATCGACATTTTTGTGTTGTATATACAACTTTCAAAGTAATCTCTCTCTCTCTCTCTCTCTCTCTCTCTCTCTCTCCCCCCTTTCTCTCCCCCCCCCAGGCTGCATTGACTCACCGTTTTCTCGGACGTACTTGGCCAGTAGGTCGTTCTCTTCTTGACTCTCGATGGATGCGAGAAGCATCCCTTTCGAAATGCACTCTGCGACGGCGTTGTACCAGTCCAGCTGTCAACAGAAGTAAGTTTCTTATGTTACATGCTCGCCGCATCTACTCAGCGCAGGAAACCCTGCCACTGTGACTGTTTGGTTTGCCTGATAGACTCGTTCAGGGGATGGCAACGACGCGGAGAGCGCGTCGAGGGGGTTAACACTTCAAGAGATCGTGCATGTACTACTCGGTATTACGCTCTATTACGGGGATATGACACGTGTACACACTTAAAACTCTACAAAGAACTGTTCTTTGTAATACGAAGAAAACGGCGGCTTCGCAGCCTGCAAAGGGAAAATTTTTGTAATACGAACATTTTCTTCGTAATACAAAGGAAAAATTCTTCAAAGCCTACGAAGAACTTTTTCGCAGCCTGCGAAGGATTTTTCCTTTGTATTACAAAGAAAATCGTTCGTATTACAAGCGATTTCCTTTCGCAGGCTGCGAAGCCGCCGTTTTCTTCGTATTACAAAGAGCAGTTCTTTGTACGAATTTATCTGTGTATTACGGCATTGAAATTCCAAAACTTGTCACATTTGACCCAAATAATATTACGTTTACGTGTATTACGCGTAATACAAGATTTTTGGGAACACAATTGTTCGGAGCGCGTGAACCCATGCTCTCTACGTCGTCTGCAGGGGTCCCGGTTGTGTAAACTAAGCATTTGTTTGACAAACGTTTTGCACATATCGAAAGCAAATTAAATTTAGGGTAACTTGGACTCATTACACGCTGAAGTGTCAGACGAACTTTTCGCACAATTTTTGTACGAAAACCGCACACATTTCCCCACTTCTGTGCAAAATCGCGTACAAATTTGTACGATCGGGTGCACAAAAAGCTGGAACGCCTCGTACCAAATTTGTACAAAATCATTAAGTGTGCTTGACGAAATTTGAAATTAACTTAAAATATGGGAGGCAATGTCAACACAACACTCTTATTCCACGGATGTGACGTCACGTTGAAACGAACGTGACAAAATGTCACGTTCGTTTGAGCATTGTGTCACATTCGTTTCAATGTGAACAAGTCGGATTTTGGCCGATTCACACCCAAACGAATGTGAAAACACTGTAAAAAATAGTTCGTAAAATTTTCAAACATTTTTTGGGTAATTTTGTTGCACAAATTATCTGTAAAATTTTCAACGTTTTATTGTTTCTTAATGATTCTTCACGCAGTAGTTTGTAAAATCACAAACTTTTTACACGCTCCAAATTACGTGGACCGCTTTTGTTCTACCTTGCCACGCTGATTAAATGGAGATTAACTTATTTCAGCGTTTTTGTTTTGTTTTATGAAACATCTTGTAAAATGATGAAGGCATCTCCATATCTCGTAATCTTACAAGCGATTTGTGCAACGGAATTACCCAAGCATTTGTTGTAATTTTAGGAAACTTTTCATATTTTTTTGACATTGCTGTAGTATTATAGTCACGTTTGAGATGTATTTCGTTCCTACCATTTCACAAGGCGGTGTTCACAAACAAATTTCATAAAATTAAGAAGATTTCTGTGATGAATAATTCATAAAACGGCCTCTACGAATAAATTTCATAAAATAACGAAATGTTATTGTTACTTTACAGGGAATTTGTTAAAAAAAATTCGTAAATTCACAATAATTTTTTACAGTGCACCAGGTTACTACCTTCGCTGCGCAGCCATAACTAAACTCTTTGTTCCTATTACGAAGAAAAAGCTCAATAGGATATTGGGAGTGCAGTTGACCTGGTCAACTAGGCACACATTTGGTTTTCTAGAGTGGGGCCACCCTACCGTGTTCGCCGTAACCAGTTCGAAAGTCTTGTTCCCAACGACAAGCGTATCCACCGGGATGGGTCCTCGACCTCGAAAAAAAAAAACAGTCGAATTACACTTTGAGACAGCAGCAGTTGGTTTTTCTGTTTTCTTTGACGCATGTTGGCATTTACTCACTGGGCGTTTTCAGCTTCGCTGCGTCGCCGCTGACCGTGGTGGCCTGCAGGTTGAGGCCCTCCCCTTTCTCGGTGGTCGTTTCACGTGTCTCTTTCTCCTTGACAGCAGCATGGGGTTCGCGGCCTGGAATAGATCCGTCGAATCAAGGAGCTTATAGAAATAAAAATACCCGAAAAGAATTTTGTTTATTTCGGCCTCGGAAAAGTAGGAAGGATTCGTCCTGCAGAGAAGGCAAAAAGCCGACCGGGATCAAATTGGGTCTTGGTCAATACCTCACCCCAAATTAGGGTGAGAGTCAATTTACCTCCCAAATTTGGATGATTAATGGCGTAGCTACTTATACAGCAATGAAAAAGGTCTAACCATCCAAAACATTAGTCCCGATTTTGACTCCTTCATTCTGAGTGCATAGGCCCTACATTTCTGTATGACCTTTTTTTGGTGGTACATTTTGTTGGCAGACGTCTCGACCTTTGCGCACTTAATGTTTTTGTACAAATTTTCTACGAAACATCACAGTTTTTTAGTGCACACGTACTTTTCGTACAAATTTGTACGTGATTTTGCTCAAATATAGGGAAATACGTGCAGTGTTTCGTACAAAAATTGTACGAAAAGTTCCCGTGCACAAAAAAGCTTGTGATGTCTCGTACAAATTTGTACATAACATTTAGTGTATGAATTTCAGTGTGGTCCGATAAAACAGCACAGGTGACCGGTCCTAGGACGTCGTCGGGCAAGTAATTATTTTCACCGAAGCTTTTTAAGGTTTTAGGAGTGTGGTCTTGACTCACCGGTCGCTTCCGTGGCACCGTCTCCGCTCACCGCGGCGGCCAGCAGCAGGGCGAGCAGTAGGAGCGACCTCATGTCGGGGCGGCGGCACTGGAATGACGCTGGGCCTCGACCGTCCCTGTCTCCCCGCCGCTCTGGGGCTGGCCTGGCCACTCGCCCTGTTTGCGAGAGATCGCATCTTGCGGTTCGGTCTGCCGGGCCGCCACGACACTGCAACACCGTGGCCGTGCTCGGCTGACCGAACCGAGATAAGTGTGGACCAGCGGGCTGCTTCCGCCCAGCTGCCCAAACCCTCTGGAGGTGAACTCGTCTAATGACCCAACAGCCCTCCTGTCGGGCCACATTGCACAGTGGGCTAGAAGACCAGCGCAGACAGCCAAAACCCTGACGCGTTTTTTGAGCTCCGGCGGCGCATAACAGGACTCGAGGGGTGCCCACCAATGGATTCCTCGTGCGTAGATCGAGGGGTGCGTCACTTCGCCCAGTCAGTGCAAACCCCTGACTCCAGTCACTGCCTTGTCTCTGTCTAGTCACCCATAAAGCCGACAGACAACGTGAAAATTTGCTTCACTTGGGGCATTTTTGTAACGCATTTCGTAAGATTTACACTGTTATCAAAGTGTAAATTCAGCCCAGTCACCAGTCAGTGTACACCTATTTTCCAAGTGAGGTACCGCTCGGCGTAGGTCAATCCATTGGTTCGGGTCACACGTTCAGTTCGAGTCCCATTTAGCGACTTCCTTGGGGCTCAAGACGCGTCCGGCATTTTGACCGCCTCCGCTATTCTGGCCCACAGAGCATCGTTGGGGAGGGTTGGCTTTGGGGTCATTAAGTCCAATTCTGAGGGGTTAGCGCAGCTGTGTGGAAGCAGTCCGCTGGTCCCACTTATCCACACTTATCTCGGTTCGGTCAGCCAAACACGGCCACGGTGTTGCAGTGTCGTGGCGGCCCGGCAGACCGAACCGCAAGATGCGATCTCTCGCAAACAGGGCGAGTGGCCAGGCCAGCCCCAGAGCGGCGGGGAGACAGGGACGGTCGAGGCCCAGCGTCATTCCAGTGCCGCCGCCCCGACATGAGGTCGCTCCTACTGCTCGCCCTGCTGCTGGCCGCCGCGGTGAGCGGAGACGCTGCGACGGAAGCAACCGGTGAGTGAAGACCACACTCCTAAAACCTTAAAAAGCTTCGGTAACGAAGTCACTTGGCCGGCGACGTCCCAGGACCGGGCATCTGTGGTGTTTCATCGGTCATGCATGCATACGAACTGCCGTAAAGACATCTGGATGGAATCCGACACCCCCTCTGGATTTATCTATGGCAGGGGTCTTAACACCTCAAAAGTGACTGCTTTCGAGGGTTTTGGACTACTAGACGGGATCTCGCAACCCGAAATCAAACAAAGTAACCTAATGGGTTTCGTATACTCGAAAAAGGGCACTCATTCGAATGCCGGGTCGCGCGAGGCTCTACGAAGTCGGGGTTGAACAATGCCGGGTCTCAAAGTTGCCCATTCTCACTATTTTACTAAAGATTTGGGCATTTCAGAGCCGTTTGGAGTGATTTGGCTCCTCTTTAGCCGTTACCTACCCAACATCCTCTCCAAATTTCAGCTGTCTTGGTCAATTATTAGAGGACCTGTCAGCAATCAAACTTTGGGCCATTTATCCGATTTTATCACTATCACAGGGCTTAGGTAATTTTGGGTCCAGAAAAAATTTCTTTGCAACTATTTTGTCGTGATCAGGGGGCAAACGTGGTCCACACCCGTCGACACCACGTTAGGTGATGCGGTCTGCACTCTCAGCCGTTTACTGACTATTTCTCATTAGCAGACGTATTTCTGTAAGCAACCATAATACTTAGTATTTAGTTATTAAATACTTAAAAAGTTCTTTGTAATTTACTAAGAAAACGGTAATATCAGTACAGTAATTAGTAATTGCTAAGTAATACTGACATAAAATACTAAGTATTATGGTTGCGTACAGAAATGTGTCTGCTAATGAGAAATAGTCAGTAAACGGCTGAGAGTGTGCGTCATTATCCGCACCACACATGCGCTAGACCACGCTTGGATTTTCAGTCTTGTGGCGCCGAAAGATGGCCACATGTATCGCCGTAGAGTTTCTGCATGCTTAACCTTCCAGTCTCGCCGTTTAGGAGATACGTAAAATAACATTTATTTCAAAACTGGGATGGGTGCGTGCCCTGCTGAACTGGCGTCTTGAAGTGTAAGTGTCCCTTGATTCGACTGATGTGTTCCAGGACGAGAACCCCATATTGTTGTCGGTGGGAACAAGACATTGGAACTGACTACCGAGAAAAAGGAAGGCCTTTCTCCACAGGCCGGCGTGGTGAGCGGAGACGTTGCGACCAAGGCAGAAATCACCGGTGAGTGAGTCGTACACTGGGAAAAGGCGAATGTTCTCCATCTCGGAAACTTAGCTGATGCTGTAGTGTTACGCAACCATGAAATCCAAAACCTCTATCTTCCAGCTCAAATTTTTAGACTTGTACCATATATAGTAAAGGCATGGGTGATTTCCAGGGAATCCCTGGAAAATAAGAACCGTTTTAACCTTGTAGCGTCTTAAGTGTGGAGTGCACTTGAGTCAAGCATAAAGTTACACTTGAAGACGTTACGCTTGAAATGGAGCATACTCTGGAAATTCCCCCGTGCATTTAGATAGGGGGAATCTTGGGGAAAGAGCCTGTTACGCTTGATTTCAAGCGTAAACTGATTTCGCTTGGAAACAGAGGGTTATACTACGCTTTAGTTTTACCAGTGTGTGATTCAACTGATGTATTCCAGGCCCACAACGCCATTATGTTGACCTCGAGAGCAAAATGCTGGAAATATTTCCCTATGAAAAGGTAGGCCTTACCTTGCACGCTGTCTTGCGGTGTAGGTGCGGTGTGAAAACCGGCCATCAAATGTAATCCTTCTGTTGGCAGGTAAACTGGTGGCGTGCCATGGAGAAGTGCGCCTCGCAAGGCATGCGCCTCGCGTCCATCGAGAGCGATACGGAGGACCAAGCCCTGTTGAAGTACATCCGCGATAACCGTAAGTATCGCCCGGCGTTGCCCGATGCGCTCTCCAAACCTTACAAACTATTTCACTTTTTTTGGCTTTACAAACAAAAGGATCGATCTTGTTATAACAACACGGTAAAAACGCTTCCTGGGAATCCCAGGAATCTCCTGGAAACTCCTATACCTTACAACATAGGGCTCCTGGGAATCCCAGGTTTCGTTTTTACCGTGAAAGTATTTTGAGGTATGCGCCACCTGGCGTGTACTTGGCGAGCATGCTCAAGCGTGGAGCGTACTTGCTTGTATCCTTCAACCTAAAGCGTGCTTATAAACACGCTTGAGTTTGTCTCTACGTAGATGAATCAATAACATTTGGGTGGATTGAAAAACTTAGCAGGCTTGAGTTTAAAATGAATACACTACAAACCTGTCTACTGAGTACACACTTAGGCCTACAAATGCATGTTTGCAAGTACACACTTACAAATGCATGCTTGCAAGTACACAGTTAAAAACGCATGCTTGACGCCAACTCCATGCGTCAAGCATGCGTTTGTAAGTGTGTACTTGCAAGCATATGCATTGTGTACTTAGTAGACAGTTAGGTTTGCAGTGTACGGGACTGGGGATTTCAATTGGTGCTTTCTTGCAGTTCATAAAAAAAACGAGTACTGGATCGGAGGCTCTGACTACGCCAAACCGGGAGTGTTTACGTGGATGCAGAAAGCCAAACCATTGGGCTACTCACGCCTCCCGTCACCACGACCAAAAGCAGAAGAGCAGAACTATGATTGGAGTCACTGTATAGTTTTTCGTGCTGGACGGAAGTGGGACCTTTCCTTTTGCAGCACATCGGAGTTTCCCTTCATCTGCGAGAAACTGAAAAAGAGCTTTTGTGTTGATGTTTATGTTTGACGATTTGTATCGCCCGGCGAAGTCAAAATCACCGTCGAACGCGTGCTCCAAATAGTAAAGCACGTGGGTCATTAAGTCATGAGATTTTGTGTGTGGGTAGGAATATTAAATATGTTTTAAACCCTTAGTTGAGACTTTGTTTTATACGTTTACCCCTAGCACCAACAGATTTAATATCTTAATAACCGTCTCTTATATAGCATATGTACACTGCAAACCTAACTGTCTACTAAGTACACACCTACAAATGCATGCTTGCAAGTACACACTTACAAACGCATGCTTGGCCCAGTACACACTTACAAATGCATGCTTGCAGGTACACGCTTTCAAACGCATGCTTGACGCATGGAGTTATACGGCGTTATTTTATCAAATCTCCCACACTTATTGCACGCATACGCGTGACAACATTTTCATTAATGTAAGGAATATTAGCCTTGGAATCGTCATCAAGTGACAACCAAAATTTTCAGTGCGCATTTTTTTTTTGGACAAACAATATAATTTACGGGCACGATTATCAGTTCCCTTTCCTGCGACATGTGGTTTCGCATTGCCAGATACAAAAAGAACTTCGTTTCTGCATCACGTTTCGAGGCGCCTGCGAACTTCAAGATGGGTGCCCGTTAGGCTCCGGTGTGATGCGGGCTGGCCCATCCAACGTCGGCAGGCGCCATGACCCTGACAGACCAGTTTCGTAGAGTCAACAGAGCTTACTTACGTCCGATGACAGCTCCCGTTTAATTATCAGTCGTACACACCAAATGCTATGTACAACTTTGTACGAGACATCACAGTTTTTTTTTTGTGCACACGAACTTTTCGTACAAATTTTGAACAAAAAATTGCCCATATTTCCCCATTTTTGTGCTAAATCGCGTACAAATTTGTACGAAAATTTCGTGTGCACAAAATAAAACCGTTATGTCTCGTACAAAATTTGCACATAAATATTAAGTGTGTACTGTCCGCCTTGCCAGAAACACCTGCGCTCCCTTAGTCTTGCTCTTTGTACGGACGGTACCGTAAACCGGGGTAACTTGAGACAATATGTCACTGTTTTTTGACCGTGTGTCCACAACACTTCTCTCACCAACCCGAATTCCAACTATGTTTAATTTCACATGATTACATTCGATTTGAACCCCATGAATTTATTGGAGGTCACCTAAAATGAGAGTAATGGGCCTCTTAAGCAGGGTGTGCAAACTTTACATTATCATTACCTTAACGTTAACTAAGGAATTAACGTTATTACTATGACTTTTATTTTGTTAGTTAATGTTAGTATCACAACTATAATATGTTGAGTTTATTAACGTTAATTCTTTAGGGCGGCCATTAACGTTATTGAATTATCGATAATAGGTTATACTGAAAAAACCACGTCGTAAAACATTGTTGTTAAGGTTTATAACAGTTATGAAGAAATAACGTTAATATTTTATAACGTTAATGTGCACATAACAATTGTGGACTTTAACACAAAATTCGAGGTTAGCAAATAACGTTAATTATTTTAACTAAAATCATTCGTGGATTTCGTGGCACGCAAATAACGTTAATTGCTACAGTTACAATCGAGAATGTAATTGCCACCCCGCACTTTGCAAACGCAATTGTGCATGGCACGCTGTTCTGAACACTGTGCTTGTCAGGTACACAACAACAGTGTGTCTGACTAGGTCCTGCATGGGTCCTAGGTAGGTCCTAGGCACAATAAAACCCCCCGTCTCATGTCGCGAGGCACGGCCGGCACGGGAAATGGCTTCCACTGAATTAACGTTAATAATCGTTATGGTTCCTAACATTTAATATTGGTACATCTATCAATAGTTACAACTAATTAACGTTATGACACGATATCATAAGATTAAAAATAAACAATAAAATGCTACAAATAAAAACCCCTATTCTTTTAACATAAATTGCTCTGAAACTGGATTACCGTTTTTCTTTTACCGAAAAGTAATTTGATAAACTTAAATTCGGTAAAAAAAATAACCAGAAAAAAATTAACGTAAAATTTATGAGTGAAGTGAATAACGTTAAAGGACGAGCAAACACTTAAAGGTTACTAGTTATAACTTTTAACAAATAACTTAACGCTAACTATAATGATAATGTTATTGGCTGAGCGATAGCGAAGCCTGTTTCTCAGGTGGGGTTGAAAAATTTTTCCTGTCTGCGTGCGTGCGGGTGTGTGTGTGTGTGTGTGTGTGTCCGCCTACTCCTCCTGAACGGCTCGGCCGATCTCGGTGAGATTTTGCACGTTTTTTGGGGTATGTCCTTGGCTCGGCACACGCAAAAATTTCACCATCCTAGCTCAACTGGTTGGGTTTTTTATAGCCAAAAAAACACCTAAAAAACGGCGAAAAATGGGTTTTTCTGCAGGCAGATAAACTTCAGATTTGAAGGGGGGGGGTTCTGGGGGAGGAGCCCCCCATCCCTACGTTAAAAAGTCAGGCCAATGCAGCCCTAGGCACGAAATCAAATGCTGTTTTGACCTTCAATCACGCAAATTGGTATGCGGATGCCTGGAAAAGAAACCTAGCCTGCCGAAGGCAGGCAAGCGCCGCAGGCCAAGGTAGGTGTAACGCCAGGCGTGGATTGTCGTAACTGGCGCAGCGTCGCGAAGCCTGTTACGACAAGACACGGTCTGGCGTACACCTACCTTGTGTTATTACACCCTGCTCTTAAGTTGTCTCAAGTTACCCCGTCATTTGGGGTAACTTAAGACACACCTACTTTGCTTTTTCACGGAAGTGGGGTTTTTGCCAGTCCGTACTGATTTTCAGAGACATTTAACTTATTTTCAATGAAAAGTACTGCTTGTGGAATATATTAGAATTTTGACCTTATGTTAAGTTTTTTCTATCAAAGTTCCCTTTGGTAATTTGAGGGATAAAGGGACTTCAGAAGCGCAACGATTCTCCCATTTCACATCCAACTCTGTCAACTAAGCACAGCGATTCTCCATTCTCTCATTTCACATCCAACCCTGAAACCTGTTTAACATTTTTCTTTATTTCTACGTCCATTCCCGCAAAAGGGATATGTCTTAGTCAAATTTTTAAAAATTTTCTCAAAATCCTTAAAATATTTTTACAGTTGTTTTTCTTCCCAAAAAAATTTACGGTTCTTGGGGTATAATTGTCCGATTTTAAACATTCAGCTCGTTGGAAAGGTAATTAAATTCCTATCTTTTTAAACTTCAAGATTTATTATTTCTCATCTGGTCCGTGTGTAGTTGAATAACAGGAAAAGTAGCGATATCGGCAACTTTGGCCCGTCTCGCACATTAAGAAATGTGCGAATTTCGCCTATGTTAAACCCTTACGAGATTTGAACCTGAGTCTGGGGCAAAATAGATGAAATTTTCGTCATCAGCACCCTCAAAAACATCAGAAAGAATGCAACAAGTCGAATAAAAAAAATGTTCAAAATAAAACCCCCCTGGGATTTGAACCCGGGTCCAAACTTCTCCGATTCGCTTGAAATTTGGGACCGTTGGTTTTGTCTTGTCGCCCTGATTCCAAAAATACCCCTACATGCCCTCCTAGCTGTATCCGTTGCCGAAATAGCCCTCGACCCCATGTAGACCGTGATGCACCTGCACCAGAGCAGCGCCTCCGGGGCTCGGATCGGATTTGCTGCCACCGGGCGGTGCTTAGGGTCACCCCAGGGGGCTGCATACCAAATTTGGTCAAGATCGGACCACGGGAAGTCCTCGGACGGACGAACGAACGGACGGACGCACAGCAGGGATCATACTATATGCCCGTCCCTCCGTCATTTTTTTAACAAAAAATAAACGGGACGGGCCAAAAATGACGGAGGGACGGGCATATAGTATGATCCCTGCTGTGCGTCCGTCCGTTCGTTCGTCCGTCCGAGGACTTCCCGTGGTCCGATCTTGACCAAATTTGGTATGCAGCCTCCTTGGGTGATCCTAAGAACCGCCCGGTGGCGGGGAATCCGATCCGAGCCCCAGGGGCGCTGCTGCAGGTGCATCATGGTCTACATGGGGTCGAGGAGGATTTCGGGAACGGATACAGCTAGGAGGGCATGTAGGGGTATTTTTGGAA